GCCCCCTGAGGCCGCCAGGGCCGCCCCTGGCGCGGCCACCGCAGCCGCGGGCCCCGTGGCCGACCTGTTCCGGGCGTCGCAGCTGCCCGCCGAGACGCTGCACCAGGTAGGTCGCTGCGCCCTCTGCCCTTGCGAGTCTGTGGGGACCATTTCTTTGGGGACAAGGGGGAGGGGTGGGGCGACACAGCTGCCCACAGGGACCCGGAGCCTTCGGCCAGGTCGCAGAGAGGGGGCTTCGCAGCCGGGGATGCGGCGACGCCCTTGACCCCCGGGGGACAGCAGCCTCCTCTGCAGCTTAGCAGTGCTGGGTGCGCTCCCCGTCTTCCTCCCCTGAGACAGACTGACACTCCCTCCCTCGGCCATTTCTGGGGCCCTGCCGCCGCCCATACCCAAAGTTTGCCTTGTTCTGGAAGTGGTGTTTGTTTTGGCTGGTGTCTGGTTTAACCTCTGCTCGGGGCTCCTGCCCTTCCTTCTCCCGGGTGGGCGCTCGGGTGCCTTGCTGGGATTTGAACTTGAAGAGTGTGTGCGTGTGTGTCTGTAGGGCCGGGAGCCAAGGACTGAATGTTATTCGCTCTGTAGACTTGTAATATATAAATATCTACTATATATGTCTGCCCACTAACGTATTTCTGAATATTAGTATTAAACTGGAAAGCCTTAATAAGTTGCAGAGCAGGGCCACAGGGCTGCAAGAGGACATCTGTCAAGGCAAAGCCAAGCTTCCTATTTAGGGTGAGAGGTGGACCCCAGACATCCACCGTGGGGGACAGCTGTAGTTTCCTATCTTCTCATTCTTGAAATAGAACTGGAAAGTAACGTGTGTCATAGTTATCTCCTTTTGGCTGCTCCATACCTGGAAAAGGAGGAGGGGATGATCCACAGCAGATGCTGTTTTTGGTTTGTGTTTTCCTTGGAGCTTGGAGAAAGACTACTTGATAAGCACTTTGTCTTTTGATGTTACCAGCACTTTGTGGTGATAAGATTCTTAATATCAGGCCCAAAACGTGAAATGAAGCTTTTCTCAAAAGCTGTAGTCAGTATGAAAGTTAACATCAATTGAATATTTACAGTGGAGAGTGGTATTTTAAAATCTAGTTCCAAAGGAGTACTTAGGGTTCACTTGCAATATCATTATGTTTGTAGGTAATTTTTAAAAAAGACACTTAAGACTGTGTTTTGTACTGCTGGAGCATGCGTGTGCCTATATGTTTGTGAGCATAACTTTAGCCACTCTGTAATCTTGCGCCTTTTAGAATTCAGGATTTCTGAAAATATAATTAGGAGTCACAGAACTTAGCCTAGCTGTTTTTCCCTTAAGAAGTCCTTGATATGTAGACAGTCCTGCCGGTGCTGATGCGCAGTTGAACTGGACCAGGTAGAAAAAAAGTCATTGTCTTCAAAAACAAACCATGGCTATTGCATGAAGCCCTCGCAATACTCTCAAGCATAATAGATTTATTAAATGCTGTTGCTACTTCTCCACTGAAAGAAGAATAAGCGACTGAGGCCACACAGCAAGTAAGTGCCAGCTGGGCATGTGTTAAGGCTTATTTTGTTATCAGTAATACATGGAGTGTGAGAAGAGAAGGTGTGCATATTAAATCTGAATATGTTGGTTGACTCCTCCTAAGGAGTTGAGATGGGGGCTTTCCTGGTGTTAGAACCCATGCTCCCTTGAGGTATATATGATTTAAGAAGAACCCAAGGCACAGTGCCTTTGCATGAATGAGATTATATTCTTGACGTGCATGTGAAACCTGCTTGCAAAAGACTGCTTCAGATGCTGGCAAAAGGGGACATCCCTAGAAGATGGCTTGTAGTAAATCTCTCAGAGCTTTAAGCTCCCTTTTTCAGCCCAGCACAACAAAACGGATCCTTCCCCATTAACCTAACATCATTGCAATAATCCAGTATTCTTCATACAGGTGAAAATTAACATCCAAGTCATGCTGGGCTGGGAAATGTAGTCAGAAGAGATTCAAACAAAGCAAGCAGCTGGCAGCCACCTAATTTTTACCAGCCACTTTGGTGAGGTGTGGTGTGGTGTGTCTGGGTGTGTATATGTGTGTGTGTGCATGTGCTAGCTCGCTCCATTCATCTTGATTTGCACTACTCTATGAGTGTATTAGCCATTCTTGAAAACAAACGTAGATGTTTTTAGCCTTTCCTTGTTAAACAGAAACCTGTAAGTTCAGAATTAAGTGGCCCAACAGGTATAACTGCTCAAATCATGGAGGCACTAACCAGCCCTGGTAGTTTCTATGGTAACAGCCAGATTTTTTTTTTTTTCTTCCTAATAACCATACAATTAAGGTTACCATTAATGTTCCAGTAGGGGTGAAAATCTTACCTGGAGTAAATGTTCTATAAGAATACTTAATTTTGTCTCCTCCTTGGAGTAAAAATAAACCATTACACCTGTTACTTTGTTATGGAAGTGAATTATCTTAGAGTTTTTTTTCAGTTGAAATATATATGTATATTATTTACTTATTAACAAATATATTTAATTAATTAATTAATTAATTTTTTGTGTGTGTGTGAGAGGAAGATCTG